GAGTGTCATCTGTGTGGCAGCAGAGGAGGATGCTCTTAGTGACAGCACTTTGGATGAATGAAAGGATAGCAGATTAGAAAGAAGACTGCAGTAATGAAGGTGCGAGTGACAAAAGCCTTGCCCCAGGGTTACAGCCATTGGAGTGGAAAGGAAGGAGCACATGTTAAGCTCTGTTATCAAAAGAACAATCTGGATTTGGTGCTAGCTTGCATGTAGCCCACCAACAATTTAGGAAAGGCTAGGGAAAGCCAGGTTAGGGTCAGGATACTGTGCAGGATGCTTGAGTTATTGACTCTGGAGAAAGAGGTTTTTGGGGATGAAGGTGTTTTTGCTGACTTGGGTTATAATTTTTGTTGGGACTGGCTTTGTGTTTTTAGAGCTCCTGGTTTACATTCACCAGTAAAGCCCCAGTTTCCCCAGACAGCCACCCTCTGAAGCTGGGAGGAGAGGGCAAAATACCCTACCCCTGTGGAGGAAATCCCTCTTTTTTTTCCATCCCATTTAAGGATACTCTTAAGGGTACTCTTTCCACTCAGTTGGCCAGACCTGGAGAAGTTTGTTGAGGAATTCAGTAATCTCTCCCTTTTCTGACTAGGCAGACTAGATAGCACTTGTCCTCCCTTTCTTCTTTTTACTCACCTTGCTTAATACAAGCCAGCACTTAAAACAAGAGTCTTCAGCTAGCAGGGAATCCACTTGGGGCAGGGCTCCTCAGGCCACCTACGAGTGCCAGGGCTTCTTGAAGACACCTTTTAATGATCCCCAGTGAGAAGGATAATATTTACTTGTTTAATTCATTTGCATCACCTTAAAGGGATCTTTGTCATTTGCAGCGGAGGTCACTGCTCCCCCTCCCCCTTCCCTCTCTAAATTGTAATCATAAATAATGAGTTTCATTCAGAGCTCCCCGCCAGCGAGCTGCTAATTACCCAAAGTACGGCTTGTAATTTACACAGTAATAAACCGTAAATTTAAACATTACGGCACTTTAAGTTAATAATTTTCCTTCTGTAACAAATAGCCCATCTTTCACCCCTGCTGCTGCCACTGCCTCCCCCAAACCTTGTGTGTGATGTTGCCCATGCAGCCTGGCAAGAGCTGTGCATAACCTGACCTGTGAAGCTCTCTCCCCTTACGTCGAAAGCCAAACACTAGAGTGTTTTTACTGTGCAGAGATGAACATGCTGGTGTTTTCAGCTAGATATACGTGGGAAATGAGTATGTACCAAATGATGGCTCATAGGGAGAGCAATTTCTTCATCGTGGAATATGCTTTTGCCTGAACATGTGCGGATCCCTCTACTGAGCATGCTGCTTTTTGGTAGCTGAGATCCAGGAGCCCTGAATCCCAAGCAAGGGGGGTTGGTGCATTGTTGATGGCCAGAATCTGAAGATTTATTGTGGAAAAGTGGAAACTATGAATATGTTTGTGGGCTTTATTTTGTTTCCTGGGTCTTACCTGGTTCTTGGAGGAGGGGAGGAATGTCTCAGATGAAGTGTTTCCACCTCTCTTGTGTTTCAGGAGACCAGCATGAGTGCTCTGGGTACTGAGAGGATAGGTCATATCGTTAATGACCCACGCCAAAAAGAGTAAGGAGTTGTGTGTTACTATATATATGGTATTGAGGATTTTGGGTGGATAAAGGGGCAGAAGAGATCTGTGGGCTCTCCTGAGACTATTTTTCTGGGTACTTGGTGGGAGCAGGGGAAGTGAAGCCCTATCAGCATATTGTGTCAAACAGGAGGCAGTTTGGTCTCCAGGTTACTCTCATTCATTCAAATCTATTTGCATTTGCTCATATCTGTTTGTAATAAGGCTGTGTCTGTGTGCAGCTCCTGCATGCCATCCCTTCAGTTTATGTTGAACCGTTTTTCCCTTGATGTATAACATGCATTTGCAAGATCCAGGGATCCCCACCACAGCCTTGGGGAGATGATGCTTATTACTGAAGTAACATCATAGGGGAAGAGCACCCCTGGGCATGAGTCTGGATAGCAAAAATGAGGCTGATAAGGCAGTCGCCAGTTTGCCTTCTCTGCAGACAAAGTGTTCTGGTGTTTCCCTCTCAAATCCTACTGTTCACACTCTAAGCCTGGCCAGCTCTACAGATCTTCAGAGTGGATATTTTTGTAACAGCCCTTTTGGGCAGCTATGAGAGAGGGTTGACTACTGATTATGAAGTAATGGATCCAGCCTTCACCAGTTACTGGCATTCAAACTCACTCCCTGTGTCTGAAACTTGTAATTTTAGTACAAGCTCTATTGATACTTAACCAATCTCTCTTTCTCTCTCTCTCCTCTTTCCCCCCCCATTCTATGCCTATTTCTATATCTATTTTTTCTCTTCTCTCCTTTTTTCCCCAACCCTTTTTTCCTTGTCTCCACTCTTTTCTGCCTCTCTCCAGTTTCTGGTTACCATCAGTGGGGAAGAGAGATCGCAACCAGGTAAGCCGGTTCTGCTCTACCCTTTTTATTTTATTTGGTTTCCTTTTCTCTAGAAAGAACAAAGTACTGGCTTCAGATTTCCCTCATGTTGCGGCCTGTGTACATGAGGTAAGGCTGCCCCATCCTTTCATCTTATAGGGGTAACTGATCTCTTCTAAGCTCCAGCCACATCCCTCATGCCGGGGCTCATGTTCTCTGTCTGTGCTGAGGAGTTCCCTAGAAACTCAGCTTCTTCTTTGCATCTGCCTTATTCAGGCTGGTATTTATCTTACTTGACAAATGGTTAGAAAGGGGGTTCCTTGGCTGCAGGAACTCTGGTATCCCAGAATTCCCTGCAAACCTCTCTTTAAACCCTTCACTTTCATCTCATTGGGTCATGCTTCTCTGCAAATCAGGTGGTCAAGCAAGATGAAAAACTGGTGGCTTCATTGTACTTTATGACCAAACCAGAGAGGTAGTAGAAGAAAGAGAATAATGACCCCTTCCACACTTCATCCTCCTTAGGTGTACATGTGCACTGCCAAGTCTCATACTGTGTAGATCAAATTCTGTGGCAGATGGCTAGCTCTTCTACCTAAAGCAGAAGAACCGGGTCTTTGATTCTGACAAGGCAAAAAGTATCATCCTTTGGGGCACTGGTGCTGTGTGACTGCAATAGCTCCCCCTTTTGTTTAGTGACAAGACGCTGCTCTTGTTTCATGGACACTGATGTTGAATGCACCTTTTTTTTTACATTGGATTTCAGTTTTATTGTCTTTTTTGGTTAAAGCTGAAGGGGGGAGAACCACTGTGCTACTGCTAATGTGATCCTTCCTTCCTTTACTTGTCAGAGTATCACCCAGAATATTTGAAACATTGTCAGAGGAGAGACAGATTGTGTAGAGCTAGAAGAAATACCCTTTTAGTGATGAACTTAAACAGCTACAAGGGATCAGTAGAGGTCCCTTCCTACTGTAATGTTGTTTGCCTGACAGTAGGTAATAGACTATGTGATAATAGATGCTTATAGCACTTCTTTCTGTAAAAGGTCCTATTTATAAAGAATGCTTCTGATTTCTCAGTTTCTGACTGGTACTGATACTCAGAGTCCTGCCACTGTTGGAGGATAATTATTTCATCCTTTTTTTGAAGCAGGAATAAAACATCCCGGTTCTTTTAAGAGAGAGTCCCATGAGTATAGCATTTTACAAAGCAGATAAAATTGGATTACTTGCTTTGAAGAGCTTCCAGTCTATGTTGAGTGAAAATAGAAGGTGCAGAGGATGATGCATATGGTAACTTGGAAGGTTAATGCAGGTGTTGGGGGATAGCTACCAGGATATAGTCTGCATTCTGCTTGCAGAAATAATGTGTGTTGACCTGTGGTTGAGTAGTAACTATTCAGTCCCCACCCCATCCTTCAAAAAGAATAGTTTTCTAAGACTGTGTCTTTGAAGACAAACCTTAACTAGTTATGTTTGATATTTCTTAAGCTGTTCCTGTGTCTGTATTATGAGAGAAGATCTAAGGTTGTTCTGATGAACAGAAGGAGGGGAGTTCTTGTCTCAGAGATTGATTTCATGTGCCTTCCTACTGAGAGAAATCCTGCAGATTGTGGTGGGGATCTCGCATGAAGCTATTTCTTCTGTGGTTGGAAAAAATGTCAGCTGTCCTTGGAATTAGCTTTGAAACTGAGCTTTTGAGGGTGTTGTGAGAGTCTCCTAGTAACATCTGCATTGATGTAGGTGACCAGGTATTACGAGGTTCTCTGCTTGTACGATGCATGCAAGTGGTTTTGACCATCAAGTTGAGCTTATGGGCAGGGAGCTCCCTTAGATGTGGGCTTGGACCATGGAGTGGAGTCTCAGGAAATCCTATATATGCTTTTGTTTATCCTAACATTTGTTGTGCTCTGAACTAGTAGAGCAATACTGCAGTGCTTCTGTAGTATCCTGTCTGAGAGTCAGCTATCACTTTTCTACAAGTATTGGAGAGTGTGAATAAAGCACAAGTAAGGAGTGAAATTGAGCAGTTGACCCTGAAGACAGACAGTTCCTTTAAAAACTTTGCTGAAATAAACTCTCTTGATTTTTATTTTTATTTTTTTCTTTCTTCCCCCCCCGCCCCAGTTCAATCCATTATCTCCTCTCTACTCTCTGGATGTTCTTGCTGATGCATCCCACCGAAGATGCTCACCGGCACACTGCACTGCCAGGTAATTCCTCCATTCCACTCCTGCTATGTAGGCCATTCTTCATGTACCCCTTTGGGTGTTTGCTTGGGTCCTTCAGAACTAGCAGGTCTGTAGGTTAATGCACTCACCTTTTCCCTTGGAAGCCTGTGTCCCAATTCTGATGAAGTATCTCATGCAATGAGTTTGGTCCCCTTCCAGTTGCCAAGGGGTATGTAAAGTGGTGAACACTAAAGTGCTATGAGCCAGAATGCCAGCCAGATTTAAAATAGACTAGATATCTGCCACATGGTGCCTGCTAATATCAGCTAGTGGGTTGCTGTTGATGCAGGTAAAGATGTCCACAGTTATTGTTGCATCTAAAGACAATTGAAAACCAAGAAAGTGATAATAAACTGGTATGAGTAAGATTACTGAGGAATCCTAAGAAACGTGATTATTGAAAGTGGTCATTTTGAACAGAAGAATGTGGCACTCTTGGAGACTTACGTTTGAAATGGCCAATAGTTCATGCATGTTTGAGTTGGTATTGCTAGATTCAAGGGAAGAGGTCATGTACTATTCAAGTGCCCTCTGCTGGCCAGCCCTGTTTGTAATTGAAGTGCTTGTCCCACAGGAATCAATCCAGCTTTCAAAAGTGATGGCTGTTAATGGTTGGAGTGTCCTTGCTACCATTGAATCTTGTGAGGCTTGGCAAAGGAGGAAATTCTACTTAGGTTTTTGAAGGGCTTATTCAGAAGAAGGCTTACCTTTGTGGTTCCCTTGTCCTTGTTAATTATCAAATAGAACATGAAATATGCTGCAAGGATTTTGTCTAAATGAAGGCTTGGCACTGCTCAGCTCAGCCTGTTCTCCCACTGACTTGTGAAGACCATGACTTCACATTGCACATGTGACCTGCATAGGATACACCAGCTAGAAGTAAAGGAAGTTTCTGGACTTTCAGTCAAGATAAGAATAAAGAGGGAATATACAGAAATGCCAGCAAGCCAACCTACTCTTTTGAGGGATCTTGCCTTCAAAGTTTGCCTCAGAGTGGAAGTCTGTGTCATGACCTCCATTGTGAAGTGAGCTGCTCCATCTCTTCATAGTGAAGTGAGCAGATCCCCTGTGATTCATTGAATGCATACCCAGTACTATATAGCAGTCACAAATAGAACCAGCAGTTCCCTGCTCTCCCTTTAGAATACAGATCTTGTTGTCACCTGCTATTTAATAGTTACCTGCTGCTGTACTTTCTGGTGGTGTAGTCCCTACCTTGCTGTTGAAAACACTGTTTTGCTATTGATAACAGCAGTATTGAAAAAAGCTTTTCTGAAGCAAGAGTGGCCCTTGGAGGGTGTTCATTTGTGCTGTTAATGGTTGAATTGCCAATGGATGTATATGAGTGTATCCTGAGCACACTCAGAAATTTGAGCACTATTCCAAAGAGTAGTCTTGGTGGGTGCTGGTCAAAATCTAACTAGGCTAATTGCGTAGTCTCAATTCCTCCTCTAGTTTCTCAAGAAGCTGAAATTCATTTCTTATCCTAATTTGTGACGTGATGGTACCGGCTGCTGTTAAACAAGCTGTTTGTTCTACCCCAGAAGTGGCTGCATTTCAAGTGCTTGCAATGTAGGAGCAAAGTGGTCCCTGTAGAATAGATAGTATGAAAAGGGCTTCAGAATCTGTTGAGAAGAAATGTGCCAGGCAGCCCCATATGCCTGGCTGAGACTGAAATCTGTAGTGCAAGGCACTTTTTTATATAAAAGATATGAAAGGCCAACACACTTTTCATAAACTCCGTTACAGAAACATCCCCACAACAAACAGATGCCCTTCACAGCCAGATTCTCCTTTAACTCCATACAGACACACTAAAAAGATCGTAAACAGTATTGCTTACTCCTTGGAGAATGTTCAGAGGGTACTCTGTGGGCATACTTGTCCATAGATCCGTTCCATGCTTGTTTATTCATGCTTCTTTAAACTCTATACAATTTGCTTCCCTTCCTAAAGAATCTGTCTGTCTAGGAAGAAAGTTTTAAATCCTGAGATCATGTGTGGTGGGTTTAGAAATAGGCTTGTCTTGATGTTTTGGAAACTCATTATCTGTTTGATGCTTTGCATGGGGGAGAGAGCTGGGGTTTTGGGGTTTTTTTTCCCCCTCCTTCAACATTTTGTCGTCTTTTCTGAACACTAGCTACAGTTGTGAAAGGCTTTGCAAAGGCACTTGATGGATGTGTGGTTATTGGGTTCAGTCTGTTCTCTTCCCCCATGGAAGTGTTTACTTCTCTGGTGGCTTTTGGTGCCATTCATTTGGCAGCACAGTGAGCAGTTTGGAACCATCATTTAAACAGAGCCGCTAGCCAGAATGCTGAGTACAGAGCCATGGGTGTGCAAGAAGGGCTTTTCAGTGTCAAGGAGAATGTTCTGTGGAGAGGGTTTCTTGGGAAGACTCAGTTGAAAGGCTGTATAAATTGTACTGTACCAAGATTTCCTTTCTTGCTTTATCTCTGCAATGAGGAGAGATTTCATTCGAAGTGCCTGGGTAGCACTGGGAATTTCACACCCATCATTAGAAGCAGTTTTGTGTGTGTGGTGACTTATTAGTGGTATAATTTTATTTTGCAAAGTGAGGAGAGTTTCCTTCTTTCTTGCAACTCTCCCCAGGGATGGTTGGTGTATTAATTTGCTGTATTGCCTCCTGGCTGTTCCCAGGCTGTTTTTCCTCTTCATCATGGAATTTTTAATGGCCCTGCCACCTCTTGGGAGGCATGCAAGGAGAGTACCTCGGGGATCTCTTTCCTTTTTTCACATGCCTATAATTACTCTCCTTTAAGAGCACAAAGTGTTTGCTAATCATGCCTCATCTGTTAAGGTTGCTTGTCAATGCAACCTTTTGGAACAAGCAAGTAGGATCCTTAGGCAAGTAGGTCCATGCAAGGCTATACCTGCCCACAACCATCTACTTTTTCTTGCATCCTAAAATAGTGGTTTGAGCAGCCCATGGTTTTCTTTTTCAAGCTTCTTACGATTAATGCACTTGAGTTGACTTTAAAGCTCAAGCAGGGCACTTGATTCAATATTAGGACATTCTGTCATTCCATATTTAGGAAGTTGTCTCGTGTTTGCTGTTGCCCCATTGGTCTGATAACCTCACCCACAGTCTGGGGAATACTGTGTTTTCATAGTAACTTGACCCTTTTCTTCCCCTTCATCTGGGCATTTGTGCCTATTGGAATTATGGGTGCAGGGAAGGCAGGTGATTTCCAGTGCCATTTGCTGCTTGGCTAGCCTCCAACATAGAGCTGGGGTGGAAATGTGGTTACTGTTAGAATAGGGGCATGGTCAGTAGCCAGAGTAGCAGCAAATTTAGATTAAGAACGTGTAGTTGAGAGTTTAGAAGTGTAAGTTAGGGAGACATTTGATCTATGCCCCTGAATCAACAATAGAGGCCTGTTGGCATGTGCTCTGGATTAGTTCTAACCAACAGAGCAGTTTACCCAGGCAGTGGAAGGGGAAATCTAATATCTGCATGGAATGTAAGACAGAAATCTTAGCTTTCCCCTTAATACAGTGTTGGTTGCACTGGGCTGTGGATTTTGTAGCACTGTTAGAATAAAAATGTTGGGATGCCTGTGCTGGCAGATGCAGCTCCTGCAGTGTGAGCACAGACAAGAAAAATCTTGTTTCTTCTTATCTGGATCTATGTAGAGACCACTGCACATATATGTATTTCCCTCAGGATATGGGAATGATGAACTGCTGAGGAAGTGGGTGCCATTCCTAACATAGCTGAGGCCAGAGGACAAGTGTGGATAATTGCAGGTTACCCCTTCTCCCATGGTTGTATCCCATTTCTCTCATTGCAACCAAATGTTCATATTCTCAGAAAACTTAGTATGTATACACAGATGTCTTCAGCAGTCAGATTTTTTTCATAGAATCATATAAAATCACAGTTGGCCCATCTTTCTCCTTTGAAACTTTTCCATCCTCTTTCCCATTTAGCTGGAGCACTTCTGTCCCTCTCTGCTAGAACCTAGTTGAAGGACCATAATCAGTATTTGTGACAGGATTGCAGTGAACAGCTGCTATCAACCCAGAGTGTTGTAGTGATAGAGAAGTAGGGTGGGAAGGGACCTCCAGAGGTCATCTAGTCCAGCCCCCTGCCTAAGGCAGGATCATCCCTATCCAAACTGTTCCATACAGCCATAATCTAAACTCCTCCGTAACACTGCCTTCAACCCTGACACAGCATAGACCTAAGGCTTAACCTGCCACAAGTAAAGCAGGGGAACCATGTCAACCAACTGCCTATATAAAATGTTGTCAATATACGCTCAAGAGGTCCTGGATAAAGGGCCACACACCTTGCTACAGAGGAGGGCAAAAAGCCTCACAGTCCATACTAGTCTGACCGAATGATAAAATTCCTTCCTGACCCTAAATGTGGAGATTGGTCTGACCCCAAGCAGAGGAGCAAGACCCTCTAGCCAGGAACCTTTGGCTTTGCTCCTAGCAGGAGAATCAGCACACCCCACTGTCACATTTACTAATTTTGTCTATTATTCCCCCTATAATAAGTCTTAGTTTTCTTAATCATGGTTAAAAGTTGATACCCTGTAACTTTAGAGTTTGGTTTGTCTGCTGCTGTCCCTTTCTTTGTCTATGAAGACATTACCCTCAGTGAATCCTTGCTTTCTGACAGGCCTGGCGAATAGGGTGGCCATCATAGAGGACATTCTGGTTTTCTGCTACTTTGTCCTCTGTCCTCTATAGATACTAAACCCTGTGCGGGCCGGCTCCCGGTCCCGTCCTCGCTGGGCGCGAGCCGGGCCCATCTGCGGGCACGCGGGGCCGGAGATAAGTCACGGGGTGGAGTAATACGCTCGAGCTAGAATCAGTCACGGAGGCGTAATGGTTGATTGAAAAGATTATTTACTTACACTGGAGATGGTCGCGGTGCAGGCTGGACAGTTTCCCAGGTACAGCTCCGCTTCAATCCTCGTTGGAGGACTCAAACTCGGTTCCCAGGATCC